AAAAGTGGAGGAATACATTTTTTCCATGATATTTTCTATTTGAAAGTAGATTTTCCAAAAGATAATGGTGCTTTTCCTTATTTTTTCTAATTTTTAATCAAACTGATCAAGTGGTTATATAATATAAATCAAAAGAAAGACAATGTATACAAGTAACATGTCATTATCATAAAAATACTATGACCAATATTAGGTATTTGAGAAGAATTGGAGGCTAAGAGTTTAGCAATTGTGAGAAAATTTTCTGTGACTTGTGGAGGAAGAAAGTGAATAATTTCGTTGCTTGCAATGAACTGCTGAAGTTTCAGCATTCTTTTCAGAAAGATTTGTGTGGATTGTAAATAAATTGCAGCTGTTCTGATCATCTCATGAACTCCTTCAAATCATATTTTCTCTGTCATCTTTCCTTAATCTTTCTTATCTAAGTCTATGTACAATTGTACAAAATGTTCACCAATCATGGCTAAATTACTCCATCTAAGTTAGAACTAAAAACATTATTGTGTCATTTCTGAAAAGGGCCCAAAGTAATTATAAACTACCCCCAGCTATGTGAACCATCTGAGTTTCAACCATGATAATAAATTCATTTTAAAAAACAATATCAATTATTGTAAGTCCCATAAAAATAAAGCTTAGTTCATATATTATTTAGATGTTTATTTAAAAAATCACACCAGTTATATCCAGTTAATTTTAAAGAATAGGCAATATTCTCTTTTGTTCTGGCGATATTGTTCTATCAGATTTTTGAAGGACTATTTGGAGAAACTAACTGTTGTGGATTTTTTGAATAACCTAAAACTTCACAAATAAGCTCAGAATAGACCTTTGGAAAACAAAAAACCAGATCATATAATCCATGTGGCTGCCTTCTATAGTCATTAGATATGACATACATTTGGATAAGAAAGAAGCTCTCACACATAGAATGCAAAGGAAAATATCCATTCTTTGAGATTTGAACAGAAAAGTTGTTAATAGATTGATAGGAGTTTCTGATTTGTAAAATGAAAATAGGTTTAACAGTGATTTTAAGGGGTAATTATATTACTTAGTAAAATTGCTTAGAAAAACAAACAAATGTTTATAATTCTTGAATTAAATATAGCTGCAATCAACAAATTTAATTCAAGTATTTCTTTGTTAAATTATTGGAGTTCCATATGAGTAGTGTATATTGCTCATTGAACAATGTGAGTTTTTATGTTTTTAAATGTAGTTCATTTCAATACTGTGCCATTGGGTGTGAAAATATAGTTCCACAGAAATGTGAACAAATGTCATATTAAACAAATTTGTTTTCCATTTCTTTTAAAGTACTTGTAGAACTTTTGTGGTTTGATATGTAGACCATGGACCACAATTAGCTTTTGGTGTCAAGATTTGTCGATACTGTTCTTAGCCAAAGTTTAGCAAATCTCACAGAGGTTTTGGGCAGGATATTTATTCTTGATCTTGATGCTGAGAAGGCATTTTTAATTTTATTATTTTATTCCAATTTTGGGTATATTGGTTACATCTTCAAATAATTTTAGTTACCAAAACTTTCTAAACATATTGTTCTTGCTTCGGTGGCTGTATTAGGACTGTGAATATGATTGGGAATATAGTGTTATAGAGTTTGGAAATTAAAAACTGGTTCTTATGGGATTCTTAGTGGCAAGACTTAGAAGTAATGAAACAGTAATTGGTTTTCTTTACCCATAGTTAAGAATGTACAAAAGAAGAGCTCAGGAGAAAGATATACTTCCGTTTCCTAATGAATGCACATTTTACAATAGGGATAAAAATATAAGATGAGAAAAACAATACTGTTCCATGAATTAAAACCCTGAGGAAAAATTATTAATCTGCTATGTACTCAAAATTGCATTATACAAACATATCCAGAAATAAGACATAAATTTTGTTTTTTAGCATCTAAATGTTGCTATTCAATATTCTGTTAATCCTTTTGGCAGAAAGAAATGGAAAGGCAAATGAACACCTTTAATACAGTCTATCTACATCAGAATCTATTTCCTCTATTGCCTGGTGTTCTGATGAACAAATATAGATATATTGAAAGCAGCACTTTATTGACCTGGACAAAAAGCACATATAATTTTTTAATAGTCTTTCTCCTGTTTTCCCTAGATATAAAAATTAGTTGCTAAATGAGGGGCAAACATTCATGAAATTTCTATTTTGAAGTTAGAGCAAAACCAAAAGCAAACTTGGTTCTCTATTTTTTAATTATTTATTTCTTGGGTTGGTTGCAAACCTTGGTGGTTATTTGGCTGAAAGCTACCTAGGTGGATTTAGCCCTGGTAGCTGGTTACAGCTCAGTTCTCCTGCTCTATGTGCATGGTTTCTTGGGGTTTGCACTCTTCTTCACAACTTGGAGGAGAGTCCAAAAACAGGCCAAGAAGTAATGCAGAGACAGGAGGAAGAAGGAACCTGGTATTGGCAACACATTTAAAGTCTGTAGATCTAGAAGATAACATATTTCAGAGAATGATAGGACAACTTCCTTTTAAGATCTTGATTTATGGGATGTTACTTGTACCATCTATGCAAGAAATAAAAGCCTGGATCATAATCTCTTCTGGCTATCTGGTCCTTCCCCTTTTCTCTCTACGCTTCTATTTACTTTTCTTTTTGCAGCCTATTTGAATGTGCTTGAGAATCCAAAATTTGAGGTATCTTAATGCTTGACCTATTTGCCCTTTTATCTTCACATTGATACTCTTGCACTGTTTATAGTTAATGTTTTTTTTTTTTTTACTCAATAGTCACCCCTGTGTTTTGCTATCAGCTGATACAAAATTCAGATGACCAGGAGAATATTATGCTGGAAAAACTCAGGCCTTAATCTAATTTAAAATGAGGAAGTCAACAATAGAAGTGTTTTGTTTTGGTTTTTTTACAAGAAAATTATAAGATTTTATGTGTTTTTTTCTTATACTGACTTCATTGGCAACAGCCTTGGCCTTTAATCTTGATGATAAGATAGAGAAAAGATACAGATTTATGATATTTGGTTTCCCTGCTAACTTTTGTTGGCACCCCTACTAGGTAGAGGCAGAGAGCTACCAGGACCCTTATAATGGCAATGAAGGGAGAATGGACACCCTTTTGGCTAACGTTGTAATTTTGAGGAGAAAGACAAATAATTAGAATCACCAATGCATGGTCTCATTTCTTACTATTCAACCTATCTTATTTTATTCTCTTTTGGAAACATCACTCTATACTTCAAGAATCAGTATATCAAAAAACATTTCAACTGAGTACAAGAACAAGAAAACCTTAGCCTACCAATCCCAAGAAGTCTCTCTGGATAAAACAATGACTTCTTAGTTTTACTGTTCCTCAGTTCTCTTTCCCAGCCAAAGCCTTTCAAGAATCTTCTGCTTCATTTTCTTTTATATCTTACTCTTTGAGTGATCTTGGGACAACATCTTTACTCATAAAAGAAGGCAAACCAAAGAAACTTAAAATACACAAGTAAAAGCAAAGCAATTGGCCATAAAGTGTAAGATCGAGATAAAGCGTAGGGAAAACCAGTGTCATAGTGTACCAGAGAGATTTTTATCTACTGTTGCACCCCTGTATCCACAGATGAGAGAGACAGGATCCCTGTCCATGAGCTTCCCAAGGGCATCCATGGGCCCTGAAATGGAACAGTCAGAGCTAAGGTCGCTATAACACAGAAAAGAGAGCTTCTCCCTTAGAGAGCAGTTCCAGCTTTTACAATAGACCCTTTGAGAATGCGTGTCATTGGCTGGCAGCACAGGCAGCTTGGATATTACCCTGAAAGCAAAAATAAAGTGGCTTCTTAGAGTAGAATTCCACTACAGGGAATGTGGGATTCCCTGGGTTAAGGAATTAAAGAAAAACTGGTTGTGACTTGTCAGTTGGTGATCTGATGGGAAACCTGCTTTATCCACATTGCTAATTAAAGCTCAAATTAAAACTAGTCAATGCTCACAGGAAGAACAGCAAAAGAATGAATTTACAAATTCCATCAGCTCAAAAGGAGTTTCATGTGTAAACCCCTTACTCAAACATCTGACCCTCTTTACAGCCACTTTCCTTCAAGAGTCCTGGTAATGAGGTTATGTATCTTCATTGCTTCAATGTATAGAGGGCAACTTGTCTAGATTATTAATTTTTCTCTTAGTGAATTGCATAAGAAAAATCAGAATCTACCCAATCAAAAAAGTAAGTAAATATATAGGATGACAACAAAATTTGAAGAGGAAGACTTCAGTGATGAACAAAGATTCCATTCTGAAGTTGGGGAGTGAGACTACTGAAGAAGTTGCCATTTTGCAGCTAAGGTAATAAATTTGGTTGCAGGAAAGTTGAGATTAAGCTGCTAGGGGGAAATAAAACCTGGAGTCCAAAAGCAAGGTAAATATTAGAGGTAAAAAAATGAGGTTCATGAGCATTAGGAAGACAGTTGAAATATGGTGATAAATTAGGTCCATGTGAGAAATTGAAGGGCAGAAGAGGAGCTGAGATGCTCTCTCATAGCTGCAACCATGCATCGACACTGAGAAGTCCACTGCCAATTGTGAGCTAATCACTTGCAGGCCTACTCATTCTCCCATTCATAGTATGGGGCATGACAACTTCCTCAGAGCATGTGGATTCACCAATAGAAACTTTCTATAAAATGACTCTAAATTGCTTGTTGTCTTTTAATCCACCACAGGCTCAAACACATTGCCAGGCAATGAGTTCTCATGCTGTGATGGAAGAGAAGACAGCCAGTAAAAGGTGGTGTCCTTGTTTACTCCTCTCCAATCTCTATAAAGGGTACATTTATTTTCAATAATAGACAAGATAGAGGAGTGGAAAGTCCCTGGTGCCAGTCCACCAAGGATCTATTTGGCCCATCTCAATACATTGAATGACTTCAAAATTTCCTGCCTATCTTCTTTTATACTCCCTTGTTGAGCCTGCATGTGGTAGCAGAAGTTGAAAGGTAGGTTGCCAGGAAAACTCACCCTAGGATCTCTCTCCAGCTGCTGTTGGTGTTGTAGGCTGCGTCTTCTCTTGGCCTTTGCAAGACCATTGTGATAAAAGTGGTAGAGGCCTTCAGCAAAGGGGAGCTGTGAAGAGTCAAAAAGACATATGATATCATTAGCTTCAGGAGGTGGCTCCAGAACAAGAACACCAAAGCTGGAGCTGCATGTTGAGGCTCCATATGATGGAAATGTATATAAGAAAATCACTGACAACTACCTATCAGACTTGATTCTCTATTTATCTATCACTGTACTTCTTTCCTTTTCTCTACTTTTTATTATATAGTGCCCATTCCCCTTCCTCTCCACTAATACCTTCTATTCTTGCTTCTATTTCCTTAGTTTCTACCCATCTTTCAATTTCCTCTTCTCCACCACGGAGCATTGTATATTCATATCCACACCAACTTCTCCATTCTCCTTTCTTGGACTCCATATTGGGTTGCTCCAGCACTGTGTTGTGACCTAGTCTTGTCTTCAAGCTGGATTGTCTGTCTTATATCTTGCACTTTCTCTGTGACCCCTTGATGTCTCTCATCATGATGGGCACATTGTAAGCTTATAAATCTAGTTAGTACATGTTAGATGACAGGTTTCCCTCTATTTCCCTTTCCTAAAGATCATTGGAATTAGATATACATGTCAGAGCAAGTTAGAGAAGCCACAACAGTGAGAGCTTGTCTGTGACTCAGGGCTTGTAAAAATCTAGGAGAACCTAAAGAGAACTGTGATTGGTTCTGTGATTCAAGGCAACTTGATGAGAAGAGTCTTAACCTAGGAATCAGGAGAGCTGAATGTGGCACAAGTCTGTTACCATCCAACCTTTGGCAAGTCATTCCCCCTCTGGGGATATATTTTTCTTCTCCTGTATGAGAATGGAACTTCAACATTCCCAGATCTTTTCCCTTCCCATATATCTACATATTTATAAAAATATGTTGTTTGTAGTTCTTAATCTGATTAATTGAACCTTAAATTGAACCTTAGTTGAGCCCTTAAAAATTACAGCCAACCCTGGCTGATATGGCTCAGTGGATTGAGTATGGGCCTACAAACCAAAGGGTCACTGGTTTGATTCCCAGTCAGGGCACAAACCGGGGTGGCAGACCAGGTCCCCAGTAGGGAGCGTGTGAGAGACAACCACACATTGATGTTTCTCTTTCTCTCTTCTTCCCTCCCTCCCCCTCTGTCTGAAAATAAATTAAAAAAATCTTTTAAAAAATTACAGCCCAAATCATGGACTTATATATTTTTTCTGGATATTTGAGATATGGTTTTCATCAGATTTTCAGAGGAGTCCTTGAACCAAATAGCAAAATATTTGCTATTGAAACTTTTAGGCATGTATTTTGCTACCTTTGATTTGGAAGAAAATAGAAGTGGGTGTGGATGCTTTGAAACTAAGGATTTAATGATGTAAGGGGGGCAAATTTGAGATTTTTAGGTCAAACATTCTCCAATATATACACAGAGACACCTATCAAATAATAAAAATATATTATTGATTCAGTCTTTAAGGTAATCTCAATTTAACCATTATCTGACCACAAAGCTAACAAACAGAGATTCAGTTGTACATTATAAGAAGTCACTAACAAAACAAAACAATACAAAAACAAAATATAGCAATAGCAACAATAGCAAAGACGGTAAATCCAGACACTACACACACACACACACCTCCCCTACAGAAAGAATGATTCCAATTTCCAGAGTTGTCACATTATTTTATTGAAATGCTTGGTTTTCCAAAAAAATTATTAGACACACAGAAAAAACATAAACTTATGATCCATAGAGATGGAAAAAAGTAGTTAGTACAAACTGTCTGAGGAAGCTCAGATGTTGGGTTTACTAGACAAACACTCTAAATCAGCTATTATAAATACATTCATAGAACTAAAGGACCCGTGTCTAAAAAGAAGAAAAGTATCAGAATGATATCTTAGCAAATAGAGCTTATTAATAAAGAGACAGATATTATTTAAAAGAAAGAAAATGGAAATTTTAGAGGTAAAAGTACAACTGAAATAAACTGTTATTATTTTTTGTTTTAATTTATTCTTAATTATTGCATGCCTCATGGCACATGTCTGGCATACAGATAACACACTAAATGATTGTTGAAAGAAAAAATAAATAATGAATGATATGAAACAGTGAAATACTTCCTTTCCATGTCACCTCAATATTTTCAATTTAATGATTTTTTAAAAATTATGTTATTGTTGTTGAAGTACAGTTGTTACACTGTTAAAGTTGTCCCATTTTCCCCTTTATTCCCATCTGCCCTGCACCCACCCTCCCACCAGCATTCTGTCCCACTTGGTCTGTGTCCATGGGTCATTCGTATAAATTCTTTAGCTTCTACATTTCTTATGCTATTCTTAACCTCCCATCTATTTTGTACCTACCAGATATGCTTCTCATTTCCTATTTCCCCATTCTCTCTCCACCCATTCCCCACTGATAATCCTACAGGTGATCTCCATTTCTGTCAATCTGTTCCTGTTCTATTTGTTTGCTTAGTATGTTTTTCTTTTTGTTTAAGTTTGGTTGTTGATAGTTTTGAGTTTGTTGTCATTTTACTGTTCATACTTTTTATCTTCTTTTTCTTAGATAATTCTCTTTAACATTTCATATAATAAGGTCTTTGTGATGATGAACTTCTTTAACTTGACCTTATCTGGGAAGCACTTTATCTGTCCTTCCATTTTAAATGATAGCTTTGCTGGATAGAGTAATCTTGGTTGTAGGTCCTTGCCTTTCATGACCTCAAATACTTCTTTCCAGTCCCTTCTTGCCTGTAAGGTTTCTTTTGAGAAATAAGCTGACAGTCTTAAGGGAACTCCTTTGTAGATAACTATCTCCTTTTCTCCTGCTGCTTTTAAGATTCCCTCCTTATCTTTAATCTTGGGTAATGTAATTATGATGTGCTTTAGTGTGTTTCTCCTTGGGTCCAACTTATTTGGGACTCTCAACTTCCTGGAGTTGCAAGTCTATTTCCTTTGCCAGATTAGGGAAGTTCTCCTTCATTACATTTTCAAATAAGTTTCAATTTATTGCTGTGCCTCTTCTCCTTCTGGCACCCCTATTATTTGGATTTTGTAATGTTTACAGTTGTCCCAGAGGTTCCTAAGCCTCTTTTTTTTAATTCTTGTTTTTTTCATTCTGTTCTGGTTGAATGTATATTCTTCCTTCTGCTCCAAATTGTTGGTTTGAGTCCCAGTTTCCTTTCTTTCACTGTTGGTTCCCTATATACTTTCTTTTACTTTACTTTGCATACCCTTCATTTTTTCTCTATTTTGTGACCATAGTCAATAATTTCTATGAGCATCCTGATTAAGTGTTTTTAACTCTGCATCTGGTACATTGACTATCTCTTCATTGCTTGGTTGTATTTTTTTCTGGAGCTTTGATCTCTTCTTTCATTTGGGCTATTTCTTTTTGTCTTGGCACTGCTGTTATGTAGTAAGGGGAGGAGCCTTAGTATTTGCCAGGGTGGGGCAACCCACCTCTCTGCTTTTGTGGCACTGTATGAGGGGGAGGGGTCTGAGATGGCACAATGCTGCCTGCTTGACTTGGCTGGCTTTCAGTCCCTTCCTCTGATACCCACAAGCAAATTGAGCCTTTTTGGTGCTCACTCCCAGGAGTGTGGGCTTGTATGTTCTAGGACCCTGTAGAGTCTTTCCAACAGACTGTCCTGTGAATCTGGGAGTTTCTCTTGCCACTGCAATCCCCACAGGTTTTTCCAGTCAAAGGTTTTGAAGCTTCATTTTCCTGTGCTAGAACCCTGGGTTTCACAGTCTATCTTGCTTCCCACTTGTTCCTTCTGGTTTATTCCCACACAAATATAGGACCACCCCATTCGCCATCCACTGCCTTTCTGGGAGTATTCTCCACTTCAGTTGCCTGTCTCCACCCCTCCTACTGGTCTGGATAAATGTTTCTTCTTTAAGGTCTTGGTTGTCAGACTTCCATACAGTTCAATTTTCTGGCAGTTCTGGCTGGGGTTTTTTTGGGGGGGGTTGTTTGTTTGTTTTAAATTTATCATTGTTCTTCTTTTGGTTGTGCAAGGAGGCACAATGTATCTACCTATGCCTCCATCTTGGCTGGAAGCCTCAAAATACTGTCTGAAATAAAATTTTAAATAAAGGGTCTGCATAGTAGATTTGAATGGGCAGAAGAAGGAATCAGCAAATATAAAGGTAGGTCAATTGAGATTACTCAGCTTGGGAAACAGGAAAAAAAGGTTAAAGAAAATTAACTGAGTTTTGTGAGACACTATTAAGGATACTGACATAAATATAATGTGAATATCAGAATGAGAAGGAAAAGAAAAGAGCTGAAAGAATATAAAAGTAATGATGGCAGAAAACATTTCTAATTTCATGAATTTTATTATAAATTAAATATACATTTTATAAAATTAACATGCATACCTAACCTCAACCAAATTCAAGGTAGGATAAAATCAAAGAGATGTGCAACTAGACATGTCGTAATCAAACTTTCAGAAGTAAAACTAGAGAGAAAATCTTGAAAGCAACATAGTAAGAGAAAGATACATGATATTCATTAAGACTAACAATGACTTTATCTGAAGCTATACAATGCAGAAGGCAGCTAAGCAACTTATTCAAAATGCTGAAAGAAAACGTTGCCAATAAAGAATTCTATATTTAGCTCTGGCTGGTGAGGCTCAGTGAATTGAGCACTGGCTTGCCAACTAAGAGTCACTCGTTTGATTTTTCAGTCTAGGGTACATTCCTAGGTTGTGGGCCAGGACCCCAGTCGAAGGTGCATGAGAGACAATCACACATTGATATTTTCCTCTCTTTCTCCCTTTCTTCCCTTCTCTAAAAGTGAATAAATAAAAATAAATTTTTTGAAAAGATTTTATTTATTTATCTTTAGAGGGGGAGGGAAGGAGAGAGGGAGAGAAACATCAATGTGTGGCTGCCTCTCATGTATCCCCCACTGGGAACTGGCCTGCAACCCAGGCATGTGCCCTGACTGGGAATCGAACTGTGATCATTTGGTTTTCAGGCCCGCACTCAATCCACTGAGCTACACCAGCTGGG